ACGAGAAATAAAATCCACTCCAATTTTGCATTTCCGGCACCTTACAAGAAAATAAAAATAGAATAATAAAAAAAAATAAACTTGAAGTTTTTGAGAAATTTTGTTTGTTTTTGAGTCAATTTGTGCAGCGCGAACTTTTCCAACATTTGATTTGCCAATAGTATCAAATGAAAATTCAATTGCATCTTGATAACCATTTTCTTCAATCTATGAAAAAAAACAGATAAATAAATAAATAAAATAAAAATGTTAAACCTTTTTATTTTTCAATATTTTTGTTTGGTTTTATCCGAGATTTTATTAATTACAATCACCAATATTCGAGATTCCAGATCTTATTATGAAAGTATTTATAATATAACTGATTCTCTACAGACAGAATCATGAATTATCTATGAGAAATCTGATGATAATAGTCATAATAGTATTGAAATTATTCTTAAAGACGTTGTAAAAGGTATGATTTTAGTGAAAATAGAAATTGAATAATAAATGGTAGCGAAAAGAAAAAATTCGAAGAAATTATCATGATGTATAATGAAAAAGAGATGCATTCCATAGATATTCTTTAAATTCCAGATTGTCAGAAACTCCTGACTACTTAATGTGTGAAAAGACTTGCAATAATGTACCAATGACATCTTTTTTTTACAAAAGTGAAAGATACGTTGAAAATGAAGTAGATATTAATCTATGTGGTCGATCGTTATTTGATCGAGAACTAATCAAGAGTTAACGTTGGTATCGATCAATGAAGTCAGTTTGGATGTGAGGAAATTTCTCTTCATAAAAATAATGTATTCAAATATAAAATCAATCAAAACAAACCATTGCTCGTAGAACATAATGTGTTTCTGTCAGAATTTATATGTATCAGAAACGGCAAGTAACATTTCAATCAATCTTTGTTTTTATAGAGTGCTTAGGTCTAGTCTTAGGATTTCCATTTCTGTGAATAGTTTCATCAGTGGAAGTACACACTCAAAGTCGAAAGACCGAAAGCAATTACCTTTGTACACTGCTAATCAATCTATGTTGACTAGAGCTACTTCGCGTCATTGAATGATCTGTAAATCATTTCCAATTTTGATCTTAATGACCATATAGAAATAGGATGCAAATAAAAGAAAATTTTATCTTCTATCTGATAGTATGAATATGATTTCATGTTTTGATCATTGAGAACTTCAATGGAAAAAAAAGACTTCTTTCATTAATTGTTCCTTAACACATTGGTTGTTCGAATACTTCAAATAATAGAGTATAGAATGAAAATATCTATCACGTATACTGCTCTCCTTGATGATATATTGAGTGAAGATCTGCCTTGACACTTTACTCAAACTGTTTTAGTTTAATATGGTGGTAGTTTAAACAGAGCAGTAAGAACGAATATGATCTTGAACGCGTAGTATCCGAAACCTTTTTTAAGAGTCTAAACATCAAGAAGTAAATTGTGAAAGAGTGATCTAATAGATTTAGTAGTTATTTCAATGTTGATAATCTTCGAGAAACTTAAGAGTAGCTTTTATTTTATGATATGTTGTTTTCATCAAGCAAAGATCCATTTCATTGTTGTGCATCAATTCCATCACTACGAGATGAGGACCTTCGACCACAAAAACGAAGAAAGACTGTCGATTGCTTATTTTTCATTTTTAAATTTAGTTTATAATGTTATGCGTTAGTCTATTGTAAGCACCTTCTATACAGAAAAAATCGATGCAATGTCATGTGCACATTACGACAATTTTTTGGTACGAACATAATAAAAATATGTTACTCGACATAAGATATCTACAAGACTAGATGAAAATGTGAATTGATATTATCGAAATTCATTTCTCTCAAGAATCTTTTATACAGAATGACATTTGACAGTCAATAGGAATTGAAATAGTCAATACAGAAATAACAAAGATGTCATAGAGACAAATAACATTATATTTAAATCAATTCTGCTCAAGGAGAATAACATTGTAAAAATATTTTTCTTGTATGAAAAATTCATCACTTCTCAATAATGAAAAAACGTAGGTGTATATAAACAAAAATTTCATTGGTTTTCATAAATACTATACGAAAGAAAAACACGAAATCTCATTAATTTAATTGATTTCTGACCTCTATGATCATTATTTACTCTCGAATGTGATACGAGTCATCAGTCAATGAAACAATTTTCTTTCTCAGTGGCTAAGTTTTCGATGGCGAACTAAAAGGAATGTTGACTATTCAACTTTCTCATTGAACATGGACAAAATTGACATTATTTTTTGAAATTGAAATCGTATCGAAATCGCCCCTCTAAAAATTAGGAATACAACAGCGTCGACATGCAGCAATGAATTAGGAATGAACAGAATTCATAAGAATCTTTTAGATCAATACAAAAATAATATTGTTGCAGAACAAGAAGATGATGAAGGAAATTTTCTTCATATATTCTTTATCGTAACACAATACAAGAATACATATTAATAGAAAATATTCGTAGAAAGTTTTTTATATATGATTGACATATTCAATTAAAATTGATTGATCTTTTCAAATAAATTTCATATATAATTATCAATATCTAATAATTCTACGAAATTATACAAACTAAGACACAAGTTTGAATTAATGTCAAACTATTTCTCTTTGTTTGTTTCGTTCTTATACAACAAGAAATACAAACATGATACGCACGAAAAAAAAAATCGCAAGTAAACAACGAGAGTTGAAGAAGACAGAAAAAAAAAGAAGGAAAAGGTAGTGTGAAAGTTTTTCAATTACAGAAAAAACACATGCAGATATCTGAGATGGACAAAAAGCGAACAAAACAAAAAAAAATATATATGATTAAGTTCCTTGAGTGATTAAGGTTAGGATTGGAAATTTTTATTCTGGATTTGTTGTTGTTGTTGTTGTTGTTTGTTGTGGTGGTGGTTGAGAAGAAGAAGAAGAAGGATGAACAGTTGTATCATGTCGTTGAAAAATTGGACCCATTTTATTCATATATTTTTTAACATAAACTTCTGTTTTTAATCGTACACGTTCAGTTAATATTGATGATAATGGTATTCCATCATTTTTAGCTTTTTCAATTTCTTTATCAAGTACAGCTAATGTAAATTTTTTAACAAGATATTTAATATCATCAGTTGATACAATACGTCCTTGTTTACATGTACGTTTAGTATATGGTTTTAATGTCGTATGAACATGTTGTGAAATATTTTTACGAAGAATATCACGATTAATTTTTAATGAAGATGATAATATATTAGAAGAAACTTGTTTATCAATATTATCATTTATTTCAGATGATTCTTTCACTGTTATTGACACATTATTTTCATCAATAGATACTTTTGGAACATCAACAGACATTTCTTCAGTATGTTCTACTAACGATTTTTTATCATTAATTTCATCTTGTTTAAACTGTTCATTTGAAATAATCATTGATGTTTCTTCTTTCAATGGTGTATGAAGTTCTTCTTTAATTATAGTTGTAGATTCAACTATTGAAAGTCGTTTTCGTTTATTATTAAGATTTATATGATGATGTTGATGATGATGATTATGTTGTCGATGAGATCGATTTTGACGATGAGAATGTTTTAATAATTTCATAGGTAAACGAGATGAAGAAGAAATTTGTTGTTGTTGTTGTTGTTGTTGTTGTTGTTGATCATGAAGTGGATGATGTTGTTCATGAATTTGTGCTGATGAAAGTGGACTTAAATCAAGTGGTGGAGGAGGTGGTGGTGGATGTAAAACTGAATGTTCAGTAGGAATTGTCAATGACGGTGGTATCCAACTAGTAGCCATTGTTTTTCGATTATAAAAATAAACAGAAGAATCTGACGGACACATCGCAACAGACCAACCAGATGGTAAATAAATAATCCGTGATAATTCATTTTCATTATCAGGTTTTGATGGGGGAGGAAGAGGTGGTTCATCTTTATCAATCTAATACAAAACAAAAATAAAATTTAATAATTAACATTCTTTTTATTTACTGAAGCATTTGATATTGAAATTGGTTGACCTAGAACAAAAACAAAAACTCAATATAAATAATCAAGTTGGATTTATTTTAATTTTTCTTTTTTTTTTTGTTTTTGTTTTCATACCAATAGAAGCTATATATGAACGAATATAATCAATAGGAATTTGTGATAAATGTTGATGAATCCAAAATGTTTGATCTATTTGATGTGGATAAATCTAAACGAAAATAGAAAATAAGATTTTGAAAATAAAATAATATAATATAATATAAATATACAGTATTCGTTGGAAACATCCAAGGAGTGGTATTGGACTAAAATAAAAACCAAGAAATAAGTGCACAAAGAAAATATTTGTTTTCTAAAGTTTATACCATTGATGAAGATTGTGGTTGAGGTGGAGTACTTGGAACCATTGGTTCCGTACTATCGGATGTTCGTTGTTTTTTCTGTGGTGGTTCATTTTGTACACCTAAATTTATTACAAGAACATATTTTCAAACTAATAAAAAACAAAAAAAAAAAATAAAGATTCTAACTTGGACTTTCAGCATTAGTTGCTGCTGCAGCTGCTGCTGCTGCTTTTGCCTTAAAAGAAAAGAAAAGTTTTTTTTACAATGACAAAAAAAAAGCAAATAATCTAATACTTTTTCTGCATCTTCATATTGTTGCTCAAATAATTTTCGTCGTTCATCTTTTGATAATTGTTGTTCTTGTGTACGTGGTGTTTCTCGTACAACAAATGAACGTTTTCCATAAGGACGATCATTTGTTTTTTGTTGTATTACAGATGTACGTGTAGTACTAAAATTAAGTCGAGAATTTATTTCTTCACTTGGATGTTTTGAACTATGATGATGATGATGATGATGATGACGATAATGATGATTTAATGGTTGTTCTGGTTCTTTTCGTTTTGGAATAATATAACGTTCTTTTAATGACATCCATGTTGAATAAAGATGACTAAAAAGAAAAGCCAATGGTTTTTTTTTTGTTCGATTATACACTTCT